GGTTGCCACCGAAATGCTTTCTACCGAATTCGAGAAGGTTCTGTTCGGGACGCTTCGCGACCCTCAGAACATTCACGTAACACCTGGGTTACCTGCCTTGTGTCGAGCCTATATATAGCCTCGTGTTGTACCCAGGTGATCATTCAATTCACAATCATCTTTTCTGAGCTTGATCCTAGATCCTCACACTTGGTATCAGAGCCCATTTATACGCGTAAGTTTTTTCGACCGCTAAAACCGAGTCTTCAAAAACCGCGGGGGCGACGCAGTTAAACATCGATTTCGGGTACGTAAAACCGGTTCCGTGTTTTTCGCTCCCCCTCGTTTCGGTTTTTCGGACGCGCTTATGTCAGGCATGGAGGGCCAAGGCGACAACTATGCGACCACGAGCGACATCGCGAGCCTCCGCACCGACATGGAGCAGACGCAGGCGGCGCTACGACGACTCGAGGCCCTTCTGACACACCAACCAGGAATCGCCACCGCAGCAGCAGCGAACGCAGCAGCGAACGTGGCAATGACGGCACCAGCAGCAGTGGCGACACCGACTTTTCCCTCGTCTCCGCGCTATGTCCAGTCAGCGTCTTGTCTTAGGCCTCCCCCGAGTCCTCCCGCCACTCCCGCCGTCCCCAGCTCCTCCGTGCGGTCCTTGTGTCCATGGCCGGCTGCGTACCACCCCTCACTCCTCCTCCCTTCGTCCAGCCACCGAGCCCTTTCAGACTCTCCACTTAGACGTCTGGGGCCCCGCTCCCCGCCTTGGCCCTGAGCGGGAGAGTTTCTTTCTGGTGGTCGTTGACGACTACTCTCGGTACACCACCGTGTTCCCTTTGGCGAAGAAGTCTGACGTGACTTCTACGCTGATCAGGTGGCTCCTCGCCATTGAGGGCACTCGTGGTCGTCGTGTCAGTTGTCTCCACTCCGACCGTGGGGGTGAGTTTCGCTCCGGCATTCTCGCTAGATTCTGTGCTGAGCAGGGCATCACCCAGTCCTGGACTCTTCCAGACTCTCCACAGCAGAATGGGGTTGCTGAGCGCCGCCTAGGCCTGGTCATGGAGATTGCCCGCACCTCCATGATCCACGCCCGCGCGCCCCATTTTCTGTGGCCCTACGCGGCTCGGTACGCCGCTCACCAGTTGAACCTCTGGCCCCGCGTCTCACAGCCAGGGGCTTCACCGACCAGTCTTTGGACAGGGTCCCCTGGTGTTGCGTCGAGGTTTAGTGTCTGCAGTGGGGTGCTCTATAGCGAGTACAACCCTTCTAGGGTTAGCTATTTGTACCACCATTGTTGCTAGTGCAAACTCTCTCCTTTGCTTCATTCTCTCTTGCCTAGCTAGGTAAACCCTAGCTATGGCTCCTAAGTATACCTACTATCTCGACACGTTGGACGGCTGCGATGTGCTGCTGGGGAGGGATTGGCTGCAGCGCTTCAATCCGACGATCGACTGGACGACTGGGGCGTGCGTCGTGCGAGGATACGGAGGGAAGACGACGCTTCCGAAATGGACGGAGCCGGAGCCGGTGACGACACGTGTCAACGCGGTCAACATGCAGCGTGCGATGAACAGCGGAGCTCAGACCTTCTTGGTGCACCTGTACGAGGTGGCAGCTTCCGAGAAAATCGCGGACATCGACACCCTCTGCGCAGCAGTCCCCGAGGAATTGGCGAGCATCATTCGGAAGTATCCCGAAATTTTCGCGGATGACCTCCCGGATGGCTTGCCCCCCCAACGACCTGAGGATCATCGGATCCAGCTGGAGCCAGGAGCGCAACCTACTGTACGGTCACAGTGGCGGCTCAGCCAACCAGAGCTCGCCGAGTTGCGGGCACAGCTGGATTATCTGCTTGCCAAGGGCTTCATCCGGCCAAGCACGTCGCCGTATGCAGCGCCGATACTGTTCACGCCGAAGAAGGACGGGGGCCTACGCATGTGCATTGATTATCGGGCGCTGAATCGGGTCACGATAAAATCGCGTTACCCGATCCCGCGAACTGACGATCTGCTGGATCAACTTCGCGGAGCTCGGTATTTCTCGAAGATCGACTTGCAAGGGGGCTACCACCAAATTCGCGTGTTCGCCGACGACTGCCTGAAGACCGCATTTCACACACGCTACGGCAGCTACGAGTTCACAGTGATGCCGTTCGGTCTGACAAACGCGCCCTCGACGTTCCAGCTCACCATGAACGGGGTTTTTCGGGACATGCTGGAAAAAAAAGTCATCGTGTATCTGGACGACATCCTGGTGTACAGCGCGACAAAAGAGGACCATCTGCGGGATTTAGAGGAGGTGTTCCGGCGTTTACAGGGGCATCGGCTCATTACGAAGGGGTCTAAGTGCGAGTTCCTAAAGCCGGAGTTAGAGTTTTTAGGCCATGTGGTTTCTGGCGAAGGGATTAAGATTGACCCGCGTAAAGTGGACGCCATCGTTAAGTGGAAGCCGCCTACTAATATCCCTGAGTTGCAAAGCTTTTTGGGGTTTGTTAACTACGTTCGTCGTTTTGTACCTAATATGGCAGGGATAACCAAGCCGCTAACCGACCTGCTGCACCACGACAGTGATTTTCGGTGGGGGGAGAGGGAGCAGTCCGCCTTCGACGCCCTCAAAAACATTTTGAAGTCACTCCCTGTCCTCCGCCTCGCCGACCCATCTCGACCGTTCGAAGTCGTCACGGACGCCAGCGATTTCGCCGTCGGCGCCGTCCTGCTACAGGACTTCGGCCAAGGGCTGCAACCCATCGCCTACGAATCACGCAAGATGCAGCCACCCGAGCGCAACTACCCAGTCCACGACAAGGAGATGCTGGCCATCGTCCATGCATTCCGCGTCTGGCGCTGCTACCTCACGGGAGCCGACGTGACTATTCGAACCGACCACAAATCGCTACAGTACATGCGCACACAACCAACACTCAACCCGCGACAAATCCGGTGGCTGGACTTCCTCGAGTCCAACTTTCGGTACAACATCACGTACAAAAAGGGCGCCAACAACATCGCCGACGCCCTCACCCGACCATCCATGCAAAACGCGGCGGTACTAATCGCCCACACCAACCCGATGCTGACGGGACTATTCACCCACGGCTACAAGATCGACAGGTTTTTTCGGAACCCGCAACAACAGGCTGCTACACCGCACGGTAAATACTACCTAAAAGCCGGTACGAACCGGATTTGGGTACCAGCATACCAGCCTTTACGGGAGCTGCTGACGCAGGAGGTTCACGACTCCAACATTTCCAGGCATTTCGGCACCGACAAAACACTGAAGCTGCTGCAGCGGAATTATTACTGGCCGGACATGCTCACCGATGTGCAGCGCTACGTGTCAACCTGCCCGACCTGCCAAGCAATGAAGTCGTCGCGACAACGGCCGGCTGGACTGCTGCAACCCCTCGAGCCACCCGAACGACCGTGGCAACAAGTGACGATGGACTTCGTCACGGGGCTACCAGCTGGCGCGAGTGGCAACGACTCGGTGCTGGTCGTCGTCGATCGCCTGACGAAAATGGCGCATTTCGCACCATGCCGAACGACGATCACAGCCAAAGAGACAGCTAAACTGTTCATCTCCACCGTCGTACGCCTACACGGGTTACCTTCGGCGATCATCAGCGATCGAGATCCGAAATTTACGTCGAAGTTCTGGCAGGAGACATGGGCACAGTACGGTACCCGCCTGCAGTTTTCGTCGTCATACCACCCGCAAACCGACGGACAGACGGAACGGACAAATCAGACCATGGAGCAACTGATTCGCACCAACTGCCCAGATATCCGCAAGTGGGAGGATTCGCTGCCGATGCTGGAATTCGCGTACAACAACGCCCCTTCGGCCACGACTCGACAATCGCCTTTCTTCCTAAATTACGGGATAGACCCCGTGGTACCCTCTTCAACGACTGTGGACAACCCGGTGCCACGCTCGCAGCAATTTGTCACGGAGCTGCAGACCGCCCGCACGAAAGCAGCTGATTTTATTCGAAGGACTAATACCACAGCCAGCCGCCAGGCGGACAAGCATCGACGGAATTTACCCTTCCGCGCAGGGCAGGTTGTGCTCTTGGACACCAAGAATCTTCGCCTGCCGCAGCCCGCGAAATTACGGCCCCGATACGTGGGACCATTTCGGATCATCCAGATGGTGACACCTGTCACCGCGAAGCTGCTGCTGCCCGACGATTGGAAAATTCATGACGCCTTCCACGTCAGCCTGCTGCGCCATTACGAACAGCGACAGTCGCCAGCTGTTGCTCGGCCAACCATCGCGCCGACCACCCGTCCAGTAGCAGAACCCACGCTGGAACCTTGGAAGATTCTCAACCATCGCGTGGACGTGACCGCCGCCGGCCGCTCGGTGAAATTCCTGCTTCGCTGGAAAGAACGCACGAGCGAGGACGACACGTATGTCACCGCTGACTCGCTACTGGGACATCCGGTTGTGGATGCTTACCTGGCCCGCCGAGGTGTCTCGGATATTCACCACCTTTCTTAAGGAGGGGGTAGTGTAAGGAATTTTTTGGATTCCTTACTGGGTCACTCTGTACGCGTACAACCCCGACTTTCGGAAAACCAGGCTCGGTCCGCCGACCTCGCCTTCCGAGCCACTACCGCGTCGCCTTCGGGTTTCCCAACCCCGAACCTGCACCCAACCATCTCGCGACCCCGCGACCTCGGCCTAGCTAGCCTTGCTATATTGTGCCTAGGCCTCGTTGTTCATTCAGACGTTGTAATCACTTCCGCGTTATTGAATTCTGCGCACTCTTCACAACTCATAACACTCTGGGTGTGACCCCCTTTTTGTATAAACATTTTCCCCATTTCAGAAGTCTAACAAAACTGTCCAACAATGATGAAGCTACACCATCTCGTCTATCAAGCTGGTGATGGTAGCCAAGATGCCTTGCTGCCATGCCAGCGCAAACAAGGCATTCCACAGTCCACCCCAACCTCTCATAGCCTCTCCCTCCCCACCCCTTCTGCCCTCTCCTCCACCACTCACACCTTCCAACCATGATTGCCAGCCACCCGAACAAACGCTTCCTTAGCCTCAGCAAGAGAGTAGCACCCGCCTGCGTGGGGACCATCCCTGCACCCACACCTGTCTGCGCGCAAATACTGCGGATCCACCCTTGCTTCTCCCTCAACCAAAGTTGCAATGATTTGCACAAGGAGTGATTCGAGAGAGTAGGCAGGCGACCAGCCAGACTGAGTGAGGAGTTCCATGCAAATAGAACCTCCCAAGGTGACGTGGCCGGTGCGGAAGGCAATGCGGGGAGAGACCACTCGCACAAACGGTGGTTCGAAAGGGAACCCCCCCGGAAACCGAATCTCCAGTTCCACTCCTGCCCCCTGTGCTGGTGATGCTGTTGCTGCTGCTGCTGCCCCTGATCCCTCAGGGTTGGAAGGATGATGAGTGGTGGTGGTGCTGAGCTGGATCTGAGCTAGTTCTGAGTGGAGGGGCGTGTCCTTGAAGACGAGTGGAGAGAGGCGCACGCGCCAGACGTAGAGGTCTGCGTCGTTAGGAAGATGAAGGGTGAAGGAGCCGGTGGGCAGGGAGTCGTTGCCTCGAGTCTGAGTAAAGGATGGGGAGGGGGGAGAGGGTGGAGAGAGAGAGAGAGGGAGGGGGAGAGAGAGAGGGAGGGGGAGAGAGAGAGAGAGAGAGTGAGAGAGAGAGAGAGAGAGAGAGAGAGAGAGAGAGAGAGAGAGAGAGAGAGAGAGAGAGAGAGAGAGAGAGAGAGAGAGAGTGGTGACAAACTGATGGGGTTGGGGGGTTGGTGCATTGAGGAGGTGAGGTGCACTGGTCATTCAAACGGCAGCCACAAATGCACGAACCACTCTCCACCACCAATAACACGAGCATTCCATGCAGAATGGGCCATACATGGCCTGCAGAGTGCGTTGATGTGGCACCAGTGCCACTTGAGGAACAAAGACACAAAGGCACATGTCAGCGCCCTACCATTCTCTTTCCGTGGATGTGTAATCATGAGAAGAAGAAAGAATACCGATCTACCGTACCACCTCAGATACTTCCCTCTCATGAAAAAAAACACGTGGATCCAAACTCGCCCACCCACCTGGAGCCTCATCATGTTTCGATGCTCCTTCTGAATTGCGTTTGTTGCTGCAGGAGTCGTATTCTTCGTGTCCGGTGCCCTTCCTGCACCCCGCTTGCCCACCTGCTCCTGCGCCTTCCTCTCCCTCTCCCTCTCCCTCTCCCTCTCCCTCTCCCTCTCCTTCTCCCTCTCCCTCTCACTCTCCCTCTCCTTATCCCACTTCCTCTCCCTCATCTCTTCCTCCTCAGGCCGTTCCCCCGCCAGAGCCATCAGCCGTTCCCTCTGCCTCCTCTCAAACGCCTCTCTCCGCCTTGTTTGCCATGCCGCAAACGCACGAGCATGCGCCTGTCTAAGATCCACCCCCAGAAGCATCCGCCCCCCCGTGATAGTCATCGGACCTTCACCATCATTTCCCCTCACATAACCAGCCCAGCGACTAGCAGCAGCACCACCTGTTCCTCCCGCTGCAGAGCCTGTTCCTGCCGTGCCGGCTGTCACATGTTTCACATGTTGGGCAGCGTTGAAACCTGGGGGGAGTAGCAGGAGGAAACGTATGCACACATGCTCTTCGTACCCTGGATTCACCACCACTATTGCACTCCCACGCTGCAGCTCCTGGCCTGCAGTGCTACCTCCGGGGTTTGTACTGCGACGACTAGGGTAACCAGCAGCAGCAGCAGCAGCAGCAGCTGCAGAACCAGCACCACCAACAGACGACGCAGCAGCAGCAGCACCACCAGCACCAGCAGTACCATCCACATTCATTCCTGTCTCTCCCTCCCCTGGACTGTCCTTCCCAGCCCCATTCCCCTCATCCACCAACGTTTCCTCATCATACATCCGCTCCTCCCTCGTCTTCCCATGCCCTGGCGCAATCCTCTCCCACGGCCGACCCCTAGCAGCAGGAGAATGCACCACCTCGCAAATCGCCACACAGCAAACCCCCCCATTCCCCTCCGCATACCCACGCCCAGAATACCCATACGAGGTTTCGAAATGCGGGGAGAGGTAGATTCCCGGACCATACGCAGCCCCAGCAGACATATACCCTGTGTTGCTCATGCTGCGCAACCCGTTGCGCAGAATGGAGAACCAGTTGTGGGTGGCACTGCCGTGGAAGGCGAAAAAGGAGCCCATGGATTGGCGGAGGCGTTCGAAGCGGGCCTGCTTGGGGCAGCCGTCAGCAAAGACTGCGAGCTGGTGGCACGAGGAGAGGGGCAGCCCTGCACATGCCCACTCGCCTCCTTCACCCCAAGGCACGGGAGACGGGCGCTCGTTCAAACTGAGGGGTATGCCTTCGGCTGCTGCTGCTGCTGCTGCTGCTGCTGCTGCTGCTGCTGCTGCTGCTGCTGCTGCTGCTGCTGCTGCTGCTGCTTGCTCTGGCGCTTGTTGTCCTGTGGGCGCTGTTGCTGCTGCTGCTGTGGGGATTGGTTGGTGGTGTCTGGAGCGCCGTCCAGTTTGAGCAGAGTGAGTCGGCTGGTGCTAACCACGAATCGCAGCACACGGTACGGCAGAAGCACATCTGCCAGCACCCGCTGCTCCCCACTCATCCCGCCATCTCCGCCCTTTCCTGCTGCTTTCCCCGCTGCTGACTCTGCTGCTGCTGCCTTCTCCGCTGCAGGCACTGCTGCTGCAGACGCTACTCCTCGCCCCACCGCTGCTGCTTCCACTCCTGCTTCACTTCCTCCTGCCACGCTCTCAGCTTTCGCCCTTGCACTCTCTCCTTCCGCCTCCTTTTCAGCCTTGTCCTTCTCAGCCTCCTCTGCCTCTAAGGCCTTCCTCACAGTCGCAGAGCGGATTATCCAGCAGGCAGCGAGCAGCACCTTCAACTCCCACTCCGACTCGCACTGCTGCAAGGCAGCCAGAGGAGGAAGAGCCTGCAAAACGCCCGCCAGAACGGACAGACGCTTGTTGTGCACTCCGCCCCTCTCCCCCCCTTCCTCTCCGCCCCCTCCACCCACCCTGCCCCCCCCAGCACTGGCAGCGGCAGCGGCAGCAGCAGTGGTTGCGGCCGCTGTGGCAGTGGCGGCGGCAGCAGAGGGTTGAGAGGAGAACCAGCCGGAGCGGCCGCGGAGTTGCTGCGCAGAGCAGAGGAGGAACGACGGGAATGGCTCAAAAACGTCCCGGTTGCTGGCCTGGGAGGCCGCGAGAGCAAGGGAAACGTCCAGATGCACGGCGAGGGGGTGCGATCGCAGCTCAGAAAGAATGTCAGACGCCAGACCCAGTTCTTCAAAGCGGTACAGGCAAAAGTCGTCCGTGCACGGCCGCACTCGCTGCGTCTTGAGCGCCAGCGCTTGCCCGCAGATCACACACTTCTCACACACCGCCTGCAGCTGCCGAGACACATGCACCAGCAACCCTACAAACGCATTCCCCATATCCCCCTGTCTCCCCTGCGCTCCTCCTCCTCCCGTTTCCCCCGCGTGCGAGTGGCGGGCTTTAAAGAAGGCGGTGACAGCGGCGGGAACAAGAGAGTCCACGCCTACGCGGCATGCTGCCTCCTGCCCCACGCGCTCGTCTGCCTGCTCCACCACTTGCAGCACCCGCGCTTCCAATGCCTGCTGCACACTCCACCCCTCGCCCACCCGGGTCGACGCAGAAGTGTGTGAAGCGCCGGGTGCTGCTGCTTCCGTCTTTGCCGGATCCGAACCGCCCAGCCTTTTCAACGTGGCACGCATTGCAGTCTCGCTCATCCCAGGTAAAACACTGGCGCTCCCCGCGCTACCACCCTTGCCACTGCCGCCGTTTTTGCTAGCAATAGCAGCGTCCGCAGCAGCCGCGGCGGCGGAAACGGGAGCGACAAGCGACTCCTTGCTGATGCTCCTCGAGTGCCCCACGCACTGCTCCAGAAGAACTCGCATCAGAACCTGCCGCCGCTGCCTCCTCTGCTCCCCCTTGCTGCTGCCCGGCTCTCCTCCTTCCCCCGCCTCTGCCGCTGGCTGCGACACCACCACCCGCGAAGGCTCTGGAAAGGACGCCGCCTCTTCCCCACCACTCTGCTGCCGCCGCTGGTGGTGGTGGTGCTGCTGGTGTGGGTGCGAGGCGCGGAGGCGCCAGGCATGGTCGGCAAAGTACAGAGTGATGACGATGGGAGAGGAAGTGGAGAGGCCTAGAGCTGCGAGCGCTCTGACGTTGCTCACCACACCGCCCACCTCCATCTGGCACCGCACAAAACCGCGCTTGCCCATGCTACGCACCGAGCACCACCGCAACACGCGCTCCGCCTCCTCCTGCTCCTCCGCCTCTCCCGCACCTTGCTGCCATGGTTCGTCCTGGTCCCCTCTGGGGCTCCGCCGGCTCTTCTTGCCTCTGCGCGCAGCGGAAAAAGCAGCGTGGCACGCAGCCTGTGCTTGTAACGCCTCTGCTTCTATCAAGGATAGGCCATCCGCGCCAGTGGCAGGATCTCCAGCCGACGAAGGAGCTGATGAGACAGAGTGAAATCGGCCCACTCCCCACTCCCAATCCGAGCCTTCCTCGCCGTCGTCCTTGGCACGTGGCATGCTATCATCTTCTTCCAGAAACGCGTCGTATCCGTAGTCATCGTCGCCATCCTCCTCGTCTTGCTCCATCGCATCCTCGTCTCCAGAATCCCCATAACTGTAATTATCATCATCATCATTATCGTCATTATCATCAGCACCATCAAATGCTCCGTCACTATCAACTTCCATTACCGAATCCCCATCATTCCCTTCAGAACCATCTTGCCCACCACTCCCGCTTCTTCTCCCCTTTCCAGCACCACCGTAGTCATCCTTCTTCTTGTCTTCTCCACCCTTCTCCGAGCCTCCTGAGCCTCGCGACGCTTTTAGATTCTCCGCCAGCCGTCGGATCGCCACCAGGAGCTCATCTAGCGCGCCCGCGCGCCGTTCAATCGTCTGCAAGCGCTCGTTGAGCAATTCAAGGCGAGTAACCGGCACGGCCTGTCGCCTATCCCCGTCAACAACAGACCCGCCAAGCACTAGAAAGCATTCGTCGCAATCGCTGTCGACCTTAGCTGCCCGTGCCTCCGTCGCCTTGACTTCCGTTAACTCTGCTGCGTCACCGACGAAAGCAATTTCATGGGCGACCGGAAGCCACCAGGAAGGAACGGATAAATCGAGGGACACGTATGACGTGGACTCCAGGTCTGCAGACGTCGTGGCGGGACTCTTATGCGGGCTGGTACTGGTAAAGTATGGCAAGCGCAACGTGTAGAGCGGGGATTGGGCAGAGTCTGCCTGGAAAAGAGAAAATCCAAGTCGTGATCCCTCCATTGCGGTAAAGATTGAGGAGGTGTTTTGGTGGGAAACGGAACGGGAATAGATTCGACGCGACAATGTCCACAGGCGAGTGCGCAAAAAAAGCTCGACGAGAGCGCTGAAACGAGTTATGGACTAGTAAGCGTCTAAGACCGAGGAACGAATCAAAGTACAGGAAAGACGAGTTAGCAAGGCTTGCGCCACACCTCCAAGCAAATGTTATAAACTAAAGGGAAGTAAAGGAAAATGGAACAAAAAAAAAATAAGAAATAAAACTTCTAGTAGAGATCGAAACGAAACAGACAGCAGGCAGAAGCCGTCCTCGATCGTGTTAACAGATAGCAAATGTACTCGCAGCCATGGCCATGATAGATTGTATGTGCTTGATTCTGGCAATTGAACTTCCGTCCCTAGTGGTTGAGTATTGGACGAAATGCAACTCATGACCGACGCAGATTCGGACTTTTGAATGGCGTGGGTGTGAAGAAACAAGCCGTGGTCGTGACGCCTCTTGGTTTGGGTTGGGGGTTTCGGGGGGAAAACAGGTTTGGCGCGAACGGAAGCAGGCACGGGGGTGTCCATGAGTTTCAGGGCCTGCTAGGTAGGGTCCGCGGAGCCCCCTGGTTCGGTACGGACCATAGTTGAAAGTCGTACCCTATATTGATCATGATCACATGTGGTAATTGTCTTATACACAGAACAGGTTGTTTTGCATAATAAACTACCCCTAACGTAACCATGGGTGCTGGTGGTGGTTGTGCATCTGGGGCTGGGGGAGTTCAGTGGTTGAAATCTTGTTATATGTTCATGATCAGCTCAATTAGGGAGAGTTGCATTGCATTGCATTACATTACATTTGAAGTGTTCTCACGACAGCCAAGAGTTGGTTTTCATTGAGTGGTTTCTGCACTGCCCCATCCATGCCCACCAGAGCAGCTCGTGCTACCACAGTGCTGTCTATGTCTGCTGACATGGCCACCACCCTCACACGCCCCTCACCCCCTGCCTCCCCACCCCATGACTCCCGCTCCAGGCCACGCAGCCGAGTGACCGTCTCGTACCTGCTTGGTGCGTGATATGCGTGCAGCATGCCAAGGAGGGAGGAATGGAGGAGGTGGGCGAAAGAGTTGTGTGCGAATGAGTGAAGAGGAAAGCGAGATGTCCGGCAACAAGCACACAGGCAGACAGGCAGACGGGCAGACAGGCACACAGGCACACAGGCACACAGGCCGAAGGGCAGACAGGCACACAGGCACAGATGCACAGACGCACAGATGCAGTTATGAACGCACGCACCCATCAAGGCCCGGCATGTGGAGGTCCATGAGCACGAGGCGGAAGGAGTGGGTTGCCTGCAGCAGGCGCAGCGCCGCCTCGCCCGACTCTGCCAGCGCCACCTCCGCCCCGTACCGTGTGAGTGTGCTCGCTGCCACCCGCCGGTTGATCACGTTGTCGTCCACCACCTGGTGGGTAGAGAGGGGTGCAGGGGGGTTGGGAGGTGCAAGGGGTTACAAGGTTACAAGGTGCCACCTCCGCCCCGTGTCGTGTGAGTGTGCTCGCTGCCACCCGCCGGTTGATCACGTTGTCGTCCACCACCTGCGAGGCAGAGAGAGGGACATGCCCGGGTGGTGCAGAGAGGGTAGTGGAGAGAGGGTAGTGGAGAGAGGGTAGTGGAGAGAGGGTAGTGGAGAGAGGGTAGCGGAGAGAGGGTAGTGGAGAGAGGGTAGTGGAGAGAGGGTAGTGGAGAAGGGGCAGTGGAGAAGGGGCAGTGGAGAAGGGGTAGTGGAGAAGGGGCAGTGGAGAAGGGGTAGTGGAGAAGGGGCAGTGGAGAAGGGGTAGTGGAGAAGGGGCAGTGGAGAAGGGGTAGTGGAGAGAGAGAGGTTGAGAGAAAAGAGAGCGTTGTCGTCCACCATCTGGAGATGGTGCGCACAGGCACGGGAGGAAAGGGGTAGGAGAGAGAGGGGGCGAGAGAATTGCCATGCCCTGCAACATCTCACCAGGATTGCCATGCCCTGTAGCATCTCATCTCACCAGGATTGCCATGCCCTGTAGCATCTCATCTCACCAGGATTGCCATGCCCTGTAGCATCTCTTGTCACCAGGATTGCCATGCCCTGTAGCATCTCATCTCACCAGGATTGCCATGCCCTGTAGCATCTCATCTCACCAGGATTGCCATGCCCTGTAGCATCTCATCTCACCAGGATTGCCATGCCCTGTAGCATCTCATCTCACCAGGATTGCCATGCCCTGTAGCAGCTCCTTAAGTGCCTCCTTGGCACTCTGCGTCGTGCTGCTCACCCACGCCGCTCCCACCTCACCCCTCTGCACCTCCCCCCTTCCCAGCGCTTCTATCGCCCGTGTGTGGCTTGTGAGTTCGCCACCCTCCCCACCTGCGCGCCGCACCTCCCTCCCACCCTCTCTGTGCTCCGCCCCTTCACTGCTCCCCTCTACTGCCACCTGTCCGCGCCCGTCCACCACCCTCCTGGTGCTGCTGGTTATGACGGGATCAGCAGTGGTGGCAGTGGGAGCTCCTGCGCTCAGGCTGGCAGCACAGGCAGCAGCAGCAGCAGCAGCAGCAGCGCTGGAAGGTGCAGGTGCAGGTGCAGGAGCAGGTGCAGGAGCAGCAGTGAGGGGCAGAGCAACATGCAGCGTGGTGCCACGGCCTTGTGTACTGAGCAGCCCCATACTGCCGCCCATCAGTGACACCTGCACGCCGTCACATGGGAGTCAGGCAGTTGACAGGCAGACGGTTGAGAGATGGGTGGTTGAGTTGAGACATGGGCGGTTGAGAGATGGGCGGTTGAGACATGGGGGGTACAATCTGCTAATCAGTTAACTTCTTTTGCACCCCACTTGGCAATGAATCCACACTTGGCAAATGAATCCACACTTGGCAAATGAATCCACACTTGGCAAATGAATCCACACTTGGCAAATGAATCCACGCAAGAAGCTCGGGATAACCACGCTCTTGCATCTCCTCAAATGCCTTCCACTTGTACTGTCCCTTCACTACCACACACCTCCTTCCCAGAGATTGTTTCCCTCATCCGTTGGAGACGGCAACAGCATGTAAGCCAAGCCAAGGCACGCACCAGTTGTTTCGATATGTGAAGGCTCAAGCCGCTACCCCCTTGCAAATGCCTTTTGTGATGCGCCTGGTGGTGGGTGCGTTGGGATGGATGGCACACGGGCAGCTCTGTGAGGTTCAGTGAAGTTCAGTGAAGTTCAGTGAGGTTCAGTGAGGTGGGCACACGGGCAGCTCTGTGAGGTGGGCCTGAGATTGTCGCTGGAAAAGAGCCAACCTTTGGCAGCATGGTTGATTGAAGTAGGCGACACTAGAAACAAGAGACGTGATTTGAGTCAACTCAAAACTTTGCCAGCACGGTTGAAGTAGTCCAAACTTTGCCACTCCACACTAATAACAAGAGACACGAGTTGTGTTACCAGCGCCAAGTGACGCATACAGACATGTAGACAAGACACGCCTGCTGACATACACACAGATCAACGTCACACGCCTTAGTGTCCCACCACTCATACTCTGAGCTCACCTGCATGAGGGGCAGGGCTCACCTGCATGAGGGGCAGGGCTCACCTGCATGAGGGGCAGGGCTCACCTGCATGAGGGGCAGGGCTCACCTGCATGAGGGGCAGGGCTCACCTGCATGAGGGGCAGGGCTCACCTGCATGAGGGGCAGGGCTCACCTGCATGAGGGGCAGGGCTCACCTGCATGAGGGGCAGGGCTCACCTGCATGAGGGGCAGGGCTCACCTGCATGAGGGGCAGGGCTCACCTGCATGAGGGGCAGGGCTCACCTGCATGAGGGGCAGGGCTCACCTGCATGAGGGGCAGGGCTCACCTGCATGAGGGGCAGGGCTCACCTGCATGAGGGGCAGGGCTCACCTGCATGAGGGGCAGGGCTCACCTGCATGAGGGGCAGGGCTCACCTGCATGAGGGGCAGGGCTCACCTGCATGAGGGGCAGGGCTCACCTGCATGAGGGGCAGGGCTCACCTGCATGAGGGGCAGGGCTCACCTGCATGAGGGGCAGGGCTCACCTGCATGAGGGGCAGGGCTCACCTGCATGAGGGGCAGGGCTCACCTGCATGAGGGGCAGGGCTCACCTGCATGAGGGGCAGGGCTCACCTGCATGAGGGGCAGGGCTCACCTGCATGAGGGGCAGGGCTCACCTGCATGAGGGGCAGGGCTCACCTGCATGAGGGGCAGGGCTCACCTGCATGAGGGGCAGGGCTCACCTGCATGAGGGGCAGGGCTCACCTGCATGAGGGGCAGGGCTCACCTGCATGAGGGGCAGGGCTCACCTGCATGAGGGGCAGGGCTCACCTGCATGAGGGGCAGGGCTCACCTGCATGAGGGGCAGGGCTCACCTGCATGAGGGGCAGGGCTCACCTGCATGAGGGGCAGGGCTCACCTGCATGAGGGGCAGGGCTCACCTGCATGAGGGGCAGGGCTCACCTGCATGAGGGGCAGGGCTCACCTGCATGAGGGGCAGGGCTCACCTGCATGAGGGGCAGGGCTCACCTGCATGAGGGGCAGGGCTCACCTGCATGAGGGGCAGGGCTCACCTGCATGAGGGGCAGGGCTCACCTGCATGAGGGGCAGGGCTCACCTGCATGAGGGGCAGGGCTCACCTGCATGAGGGGCAGGGCTCACCTGCATGAGGGGCAGGGCTCACCTGCATGAGGGGCAGGGCTCACCTGCATGAGGGGCAGGGCTCACCTGCATGAGGGGCAGGGCTCACCTGCATGAGGGGCAGGGCTCACCTGCATGAGGGGCAGGGCTCACCTGCATGAGGGGCAGGGCTCACCTGCATGAGGGGCAGGGCTCACCTGCATGAGGGGCAGGGCTCACCTGCATGAGGGGCAGGGCTCACCTGCATGAGGGGCAGGGCTCACCTGCATGAGGGGCAGGGCTCACCTGCATGAGGGGCAGGGCTCACCTGCATGAGGGGCAGGGCTCACCTGCATGAGGGGCAGGGCTCACCTGCATGAGGGGCAGGGCTCACCTGCATGAGGGGCAGGGCTCACCTGCATGAGGGGCAGGGCTCACCTGCATGAGGGGCAGGGCTCACCTGCATGAGGGGCAGGGCTCACCTGCATGAGGGGCAGGGCTCACCTGCATGAGGGGCAGGGCTCACCTGCATGAGGGGCAGGGCTCACCTGCATGAGGGGCAGGGCTCACCTGCATGAGGGGCAGGGCTCACCTGCATGAGGGGCAGGGCTCACCTGCATGAGGGGCAGGGCTCACCTGCATGAGGGGCAGGGCTCACCTGCATGAGGGGCAGGGCTCACCTGCATGAGGGGCAGGGCTCACCTGCATGAGGGGCAGGGCTCACCTGCATGAGGGGCAGGGCTCACCTGCATGAGGGGCAGGGCTCACCTGCATGAGGGGCAGGGCTCACCTGCATGAGGGGCAGGGCTCACCTGCATGAGGGGCAGGGCTCACCTGCATGAGGGGCAGGGCTCACCTGCATGAGGGGCAGGGCTCACCTGCATGAGGGGCAGGGCTCACCTGCATGAGGGGCAGGGCTCACCTGCATGAGGGGCAGGGCTCACCTGCATGAGGGGCAGGGCTCACCTGCATGAGGGGCAGGGCTCACCTGCATGAGGGGCAGGGCTCACCTGCATGAGGGGCAGGGCTCACCTGCATGAGGGGCAGGGCTCACCTGCATGAGGGGCAGGGCTCACCTGCATGAGGGGCAGGGCTCACCTGCATGAGGGGCAGGGCTCACCTGCATGAGGGGCAGGGCTCACCTGCATGAGGGGCAGGGCTCACCTGCATGAGGGGCAGGGCTCACCTGCATGAGGGGCAGGGCTCACCTGCATGAGGGGCAGGGCTCACCTGCATGAGGGGCAGGGCTCACCTGCATGAGGGGCAGGGCTCACCTGCATGAGGGGCAGGGCTCACCTGCATGAGGGGCAGGGCTCACCTGCATGAGGGGCAGGGCTCACCTGCATGAGGGGCAGGGCTCACCTGCATGAGGGGCAGGGCTCACCTGCATGAGGGGCAGGGCTCACCTGCATGAGGGGCAGGGCTCACCTGCATGAGGGGCAGGGCTCACCTGCATGAGGGGCAGGGCTCACCTGCATGAGGGGCAGGGCTCACCTGCATGAGGGGCAGGGCTCACCTGCATGAGGGGCAGGGCTCACCTGCATGAGGGGCAGGGCTCACCTGCATGAGGGGCAGGGCTCACCTGCATGAGGGGCAGGGCTCACCTGCATGAGGGGCAGGGCTCACCTGCATGAGGGGCAGGGCTCACCTGCATGAGGGGCAGGGCTCACCTGCATGAGGGGCAGGGCTCACCTGCATGAGGGGCAGGGCTCACCTGCATGAGGGGCAGGGCTCACCTGCATGAGGGGCAGGGCTCACCTGCATGAGGGGCAGGGCTCACCTGCATGAGGGGCAGGGCTCACCTGCATGAGGGGCAGGGCTCACCTGCATGAGGGGCAGGGCTCACCTGCATGAGGGGCAGGGCTCACCTGCATGAGGGGCAGGGCTCACCTGCATGAGGGGCAGGGCTCACCTGCATGAGGGGCAGGGCTCACCTGCATGAGGGGCAGGGCTCACCTGCATGAGGGGCAGGGCTCACCTGCATGAGGGGCAGGGCTCACCTGCATGAGGGGCAGGGCTCACCTGCATGAGGGGCAGGGCTCACCTGCATGAGGGGCAGGGCTCACCTGCATGAGGGGCAGGGCTCACCTGCATGAGGGGCAGGGCTCACCTGCATGAGGGGCAGGGCTCACCTGCATGAGGGGCAGGGCTCACCTGCATGAGGGGCAGGGCTCACCTGCATGAGGGGCAGGGCTCACCTGCATGAGGGGCAGGGCTCACCTGCATGAGGGGCAGGGCTCACCTGCATGAGGGGCAGGGCTCACCTGCATGAGGGGCAGGGCTCACCTGCATGAGGGGCAGGGCTCACCTGCATGAGGGGCAGGGCTCACCTGCATGAGGGGCAGGGCTCACCTGCATGAGGGGCAGGGCTCACCTGCATGAGGGGCAGGGCTCACCTGCATGAGGGGCAGGGCTCACCTGCATGAGGGGCAGGGCTCACCTGCATGAGGGGCAGGGCTCACCTGCATGAGGGGCAGGGCTCACCTGCATGAGGGGCAGGGCTCACCTGCATGAGGGGCAGGGCTCACCTGCATGAGGGGCAGGGCTCACCTGCATGAGGGGCAGGGCTCACCTGCATGAGGGGCAGGGCTCACCTGCATGAGGGGCAGGGCTCACCTGCATGAGGGGCAGGGCTCACCTGCATGAGGGGCAGGGCTCACCTGCATGAGGGGCAGGGCTCACCTGCATGAGGGGCAGGGCTCACCTGCATGAGGGGCAGGGCTCACCTGCATGAGGGGCAGGGCTCACCTGCATGAGGGGCAGGGCTCACCTGCATGAGGGGCAGGGCTCACCTGCATGAGGGGCAGGGCTCACCTGCATGAGGGGCAGGGCTCACCTGCATGAGGGGCAGGGCTCACCTGCATGAGGGGCAGGGCTCACCTGCATGAGGGGCAGGGCTCACCTGCATGAGGGGCAGGGCTCACCTGCATGAGGGGCAGGGCTCACCTGCATGAGGGGCAGGGCTCACCTGCATGAGGGGCAGGGCTCACCTGCATGAGGGGCAGGGCTCACCTGCATGAGGGGCAGGGCTCACCTGCATGAGGGGCAGGGCTCACCTGCATGAGGGGCAGGGCTCACCTGCATGAGGGGCAGGGCTCACCTGCATGAGGGGCAGGGCTCACCTGCATGAGGGGCAGGGCTCACCTGCATGAGGGGCAGGGCTCACCTGCATGAGGGGCAGGGCTCACCTGCATGAGGGGCAGGGCTCACCTGCATGAGGGGCAGGGCTCACCTGCATGAGGGGCAGGGCTCACCTGCATGAGGGGCAGGGCTCACCTGCATGAGGGGCAGGGCTCACCTGCATGAGGGGCAGGGCTCACCTGCATGAGGGGCAGGGCTCACCTGCATGAGGGGCAGGGCTCACCTGCATGAGGGGCAGGGCTCACCTGCATGAGGGGCAGGGCTCACCTGCATGAGGGGCAGGGCTCACCTGCATGAGGGGCAGGGCTCACCTGCATGAGGGGCAGGGCTCACCTGCATGAGGGGCAGGGCTCACCTGCATGAGGGGCAGGGCTCACCTGCATGAGGGGCAGGGCTCACCTGCATGAGGGGCAGGGCTCACCTGCATGAGGGGCAGGGCTCACCTGCATGAGGGGCAGGGCTCACCTGCATGAGGGGCAGGGCTCACCTGCATGAGGGGCAGGGCTCACCTGCATGAGGGGCAGGGCTCACCTGCATGAGGGGCAGGGCTCACCTGCATGAGGGGCAGGGCTCACCTGCATGAGGGGCAGGGCTCACCTGCATGAGGGGCAGGGCTCACCTGCATGAGGGGCAGGGCTCACCTGCATGAGGGGCAGGGCTCACCTGCATGAGGGGCAGGGCTCACCTGCATGAGGGGCAGGGCTCACCTGCATGAGGGGCAGGGCTCACCTGCATGAGGGGCAGGGCTCACCTGCATGAGGGGCAGGGCTCACCTGCATGAGGGGCAGGGCTCACCTGCATGAGGGGCAGGGCTCACCTGCATGAGGGGCAGGGCTCACCTGCATGAGGGGCAGGGCTCACCTGCATGAGGGGCAGGGCTCACCTGCATGAGGGGCAGGGCTCACCTGCATGAGGGGCAGGGCTCACCTGCATGAGGGGCAGGGCTCACCTGCATGAGGGGCAGGGCTCACCTGCATGAGGGGCAGGGCTCACCTGCATGAGGGGCAGGGCTCACCTGCATGAGGGGCAGGGCTCACCTGCATGAGGGGCAGGGCTCACCTGCATGAGGGGCAGGGCTCACCTGCATGAGGGGCAGGGCTCACCTGCATGAGGGGCAGGGCTCACCTGCATGAGGGGCAGGGCTCACCTGCATGAGGGGCAGGGCTCACCTGCATGAGGGGCAGGGCTCACCTGCATGAGGGGCAGGGCTCACCTGCATGAGGGGCAGGGCTCACCTGCATGAGGGGCAGGGCTCACCTGCATGAGGGGCAGGGCTCACCTGCATGAGGGGCAGGGCTCACCTGCATGAGGGGCAGGGCTCACCTGCATGAGGGGCAGGGCTCACCTGCATGAGGGGCAGGGCTCACCTGCATGAGGGGCAGGGCTCACCTGCATGAGGGGCAGGGCTCACCTGCATGAGGGGCAGGGCTCACCTGCATGAGGGGCAGGGCTCACCTGCATGAGGGGCAGGGCTCACCTGCATGAGGGGCAGGGCTCACCTGCATGAGGGGCAGGGCTCACCTGCATGAGGGGCAGGGCTCACCTGCATGAGGGGCAGGGCTCACCTGCATGAGGGGCAGGGCTCACCTGCATGAGGGGCAGGGCTCACCTGCATGAGGGGCAGGGCTCACCTGCATGAGGGGCAGGGCTCACCTGCATGAGGGGCAGGGCTCACCTGCATGAGGGGCAGGGCTCACCTGCATGAGGGGCAGGGCTCACCTGCATGAGGGGCAGGGCTCACCTGCATGAGGGGCAGGGCTCACCTGCATGAGGGGCAGGGCTCACCTGCATGAGGGGCAGGGCTCACCTGCATGAGGGGCAGGGCTCACCTGCATGAGGGGCAGGGCTCACCTGCATGAGGGGCAGGGCTCACCTGCATGAGGGGCAGGGCTCACCTGCATGAGGGGCAGGGCTCACCTGCATGAGGGGCAGGGCTCACCTGCATGAGGGGCAGGGCTCACCTGCATGAGGGGCAGGGCTCACCTGCATGAGGGGCAGGGCTCACCTGCATGAGGGGCAGGGCTCACCTGCATGAGGGGCAGGGCTCACCTGCATGAGGGGCAGGGCTCACCTGCATGAGGGGCAGGGCTCACCTGCATGAGGGGCAGGGCTCACCTGCATGAGGGGCAGGGCTCACCTGCATGAGGGGCAGGGCTCACCTGCATGAGGGGCAGGGCTCACCTGCATGAGGGGCAGGGCTCACCTGCATGAGGGGCAGGGCTCACCTGCATGAGGGGCAGGGCTCACCTGCATGAGGGGCAGGGCTCACCTGCATGAGGGGCAGGGCTCACCTGCATGAGGGGCAGGGCTCACCTGCATGAGGGGCAGGGCTCACCTGCATGAGGGGCAGGGCTCACCTGCATGAGGGGCAGGGCTCACCTGCATGAGGGGCAGGGCTCACCTGCATGAGGGGCAGGGCTCACCTGCATGAGGGGCAGGGCTCACCTGCATGAGGGGCAGGGCTCACCTGCATGAGGGGCAGGGCTCACCTGCATGAGGGGCAGGGCTCACCTGCATGAGGGGCAGGGCTCACCTGCATGAGGGGCAGGGCTCACCTGCATGAGGGGCAGGGCTCACCTGCATGAGGGGCAGGGCTCACCTGCATGAGGGGCAGGGCTCACCTGCATGAGGGGCAGGGCTCACCTGCATGAGGGGCAGGGCTCACCTGCATGAGGGGCAGGGCTCACCTGCATGAGGGGCAGGGCTCACCTGCATGAGGGGCAGGGCTCACCTGCATGAGGGGCAGGGCTCACCTGCATGAGGGGCAGGGCTCACCTGCATGAGGGGCAGGGCTCACCTGCATGAGGGGCAGGGCTCACCTGCATGAGGGGCAGGGCTCACCTGCATGAGGGGCAGGGCTCACCTGCATGAGGGGCAGGGCTCACCTGCATGAGGGGCAGGGCTCACCTGCATGAGGGGCAGGGCTCACCTGCATGAGGGGCAGGGCTCACCTGCATGAGGGGCAGGGCTCACCTGCATGAGGGGCAGGGCTCACCTGCATGAGGGGCAGGGCTCACCTGCATGAGGGGCAGGGCTCACCTGCATGAGGGGCAGGGCTCACCTGCATGAGGGGCAGGGCTCACCTGCATGAGGGGCAGGGCTCACCTGCATGAGGGGCAGGGCTCACCTGCATGAGGGGCAGGGCTCACCTGCATGAGGGGCAGGGCTCACCTGCATGAGGGGCAGGGCTCACCTGCATGAGGGGCAGGGCTCACCTGCATGAGGGGCAGGGCTCACCTGCATGAGGGGCAGGGCTCACCTGCATGAGGGGCAGGGCTCACCTGCATGAGGGGCAGGGCTCACCTGCATGAGGGGCAGGGCTCACCTGCATGAGGGGCAGGGCTCACCTGCATGAGGGGCAGGGCTCACCTGCATGAGGGGCAGGGCTCACCTGCATGAATGCGTGAAACACGTCGCGCTGTTCCTCCTGTGCGATGCCACACCCCGTGTCCTCACACGTCAGCAGCACCACCACACACCGCCCTTGAGGCCTCTCAGGCTCGCCACACACCCCTCTGCAGCCCCACACGGCACAACGGCTCCACCACCGCCTCACAGCACCCACCCATACGCCCTCCCCACCGCCCTCCACACCACCGCCCTCCCCAGCGCGCGCCACTGCCGCCGTGCCTGCCCCGCGCCCAGCCTCAGCAGCAGCCATGGCATCCGCACCTGCGCCGTCCCTGTCCTCCCTGCCTTGCCTCTCTCCCCCCGCATTGCCTCGCCAGCACCACCGCTGCGCCACTGCACCATCTTGCTGTTGCTGGCCCACCCGCTCCTCCGTGCGCTCACAGCATTGTCTCACTGCTGCTGCCCACGCAAGCCGCCCCTGCCCCTTGTGCAGCCCAAAGCAAGGCACCACAGACGCCCCCTCTGCTCCGTTACACGGCACAACCACAGGAGCGGTGGTTGCGGCGGTGGTGGCATTAGCAGTAGCAGCAGCAGCAGCAGCGGCGGCTGTAGCAGCAGCAGCAGCAGTGGGAGTAGCAGTGGCAGGCGAGAAGCAGCCGGGAGTGGCGTCAGCTAGGAGGCAGCCGAGGGAGAGCAGGTGGGTGGGGATGTGGGTGTTGGGAGGGAGGCACTGCAGCCGCACACACACGCCCCCGCTGGCCGTGAACTTGATAGCGTTGTCTGGAAGGAGCAGCAGGTGCAGAGGGATGAGTGAGAGGATGTAAGTTATAACTGGGAGCGAGACGGTGGCTGGGCTGGGCACATGAAAGGCATGAAAGGTGCGAAATTCCTTTTTGCCCCGTCTGCAGCAAGCATGCATGTCATTCAAGTCAATGGTGGCAGAGCGCGGCGCGGACCAACGCTGCTGTCCTGTCCACCCCTTGCTGCGTCCTCACCCTGCCTAGCTGGTTTCTGAAACTATGTCCACGCAACTCAGGCAAGAAGCAGCAAGCCTAAGCCGTGGCAGGGCGGGGCAGCTCACCAACGATGCTGTCATGTAGTCATGTCACCACTTGCTGCAGTCGACAGGCGCATGTAGTCCCCCTCCAGCACACCTGGCACGCCTTTTGAGGCGCCTCAAAAGTTGTGCCAACCTTTTTGGCGCCTCAAAACTCTTGAGGCGCCTCGAATCTCACCAGCGATGCTGTCAAGCACTTGTTGCAGGCGCATGTAGTCCCCCTCCAGCACACCCGGCACACGTCTCAAAAGTCCATTCAGGCAACAACAACCAGCAAGCCTGAGACAACGGCGGGGCGGCTCACCAACGATGCTGTCAAGCACTTGCTGCAGGCGCATGTAGTCCCCCTCCAGCACACCTGGCACGCTCGAATCCACATGCCATGTGACTGCACGTGACGCACAGCAGCAGATACAAGCGCAGAACACGAGGTGGGCAGGGCACGTGAGAGGTAGGCAGTAAGTGGGGATGTAGCAGGACACGACACGGAGGTTAGGTGTGTGCGTTGCTATGCATGCCTTGGTGCACTGCACGCGAGCATGTACGCATGCTCTCATCCATCCCATGGGCATGGCACGCACCTGACCCCATGGGCCTCACACACACTCACAGCGCAGCCCGGCTTGAGCAGCTCTGGCGCCGTGCTTCTGCAGCGCGCCTAGCAGCCAGCGCCTGGGGTCAAACGGCAGTCGCTCCAGCTGCATGCGTCCTGCCTCTGCCTTGGATATGTCTAGAACTGTGTTCACCAGTAGGAGCACCCGCTCTGCCTCCTCTACTGCTGTCCGCATGTCTTCCCTCATCTCCGCCTCCATCTGTCCCTCCACCAGCTCTTCCAACATGCCTGCACCGCACAGCAAGCGCCAAGCACCAAGCAGGAAACAGCAAGTAGAAACATTCACGCACGTTGCTTGATGTTTTGCTGCGCATTGACTCCAAAATGTGCCATTTTCGAACAGCCAGCAGCAGAGTCAAGGCGCGTTTCACAGTTCCACTCGAACTCGCTGGCGTTGCGGTGCGTTGCACGGTGATGCAGCTCATATGAATTGTGAAAACCATGCCCATAACCACGCCATACGCATATCCGTCCACTCCCCCCCCAATGCCATCTCCAGCGAGCTTTTTTCAGTACGGCATGCGCGGTTTTGAAATCGCATCCATTTCGCTCTTCCATGTGGCTCAGAGACTCGAGCCATGGTCACTTGAACTCTGAAATCCCAGTGTCGAGTTGGGCTGCGGTGCGAGCAACATCTCCTCGACTTACCTCGACTCGACACAAAGTCCAACCAGGCCTGGCCGGCCACCGGCTTGTTTTCAACCCAACCCCGCCCCGCCCTCGAGTCGGTCAAACCCTTTTGGGACCCTTGGCCTGGCCTGATCCTATACTATACATTTGGGGCCAAATGACTTTTGAGTCGACTCAAAAGTGACTTGGTTCCAACCCAAATTGGCAGCGGCATGGGACCGAACCCTTTTTGGAACCCTTGGCCTGGCCTGACCCTATACTATGCATTTGGGGCTGCCCACAACCGCCCCGAACCGCGGCGGGCAGTTGCAAGAGGGGGTTCGGGTTCGACCCGTCCAAGTGTTGCTCTCCTCTCTTCACCAACAACTTCCCCGTGGATAGAGCCGGCATAATGGAGAAAATTCAAAAATTGCACTAAGGGGTTATTACCCAGCCTTAACCAGCCTTAACCAGCCTTAACCAGCCTTAACCAGCCTTACCCAGCCTTAACCAGCCTTAACCAGCCTTAACCAGCCTTACCCAGCCTTACCCAGCCTTACCCAGCAGTACCCAGCCTTACCCAGCCCCCCCGATCAGCGCATCAGGAACCGTTGACTTGACCATGATGTGCGCCTGCTATCCACTTGCAACACCACTACCGCTTGAGAGAATACATACCCTTCATCCCAAACAATGATGGGCGAGCGCAGCTCGTGCGAGGTGTCTAGTTTTGAGGCGCCTCAACACTTGATGTCTACCTGCTACCCATAGGCAGCACTGCACTACTACCGTTTAAGCACACCTTTCAGCCCGATAATCGGCGTGCGCAGCTCGTGCGAGGTGCTGGCGATGAAGGCGCTCTTGTTGTGCTCCTTGCGCTGCGTGCTCTCCTTCATGCCCTCCACCACCACCGTCTTCCTCCGCGCCCTCCGCGTGTTGTGCGTCACGCTCACTGCAATGGCCGCCAGCAGTGCCGCCACCACCAGTATGACTGTGCCTAGAAGTACCGCCACCCAGCTGTGTGCCTCGTCTGCCCCTGCAAAGCTGCACGCCGGGAAGAGGGCGAGATAGAGAGAAACTTTTGAGTCTGACTCACAAGTCACCCCGCCAGCAGCGCCGCCACCACCAGTATGTCCGTGCCCAGCAGGATTGCCACCCAGCTGTGTGCTTCGTCTGCCCCTGCAAAGCTGCACGCCGCCGGGACGAGGGCGAGATGGAGAGAAACGCCATGGGCGCCAGAGGGCAGCGCAGAGGGGGTTGAGGAAAGAGAGACGAGATACAAAAGTGAATGAGAGGGTGAGAGAAGGAGGAGAGTGGGGAAGTTAGAAGGTTTGTAGTTACTATCATGTAGCTACATACTATCATGTAGCTACATACTATCATGTAGCTACATACTATCATGTAGCTACATACTATCATGTAGCTACATACTATCATGTAGCTACATACTATCATGTAGCTACGTACTATCATGTAGCTACGTACTATCATGTAGCTACATACTATCATGTAGCTACGTACTATCATGTAGCTACATACTATCATGTAGCTACGTACTATCATGTAGCTACATACTATCATGTAGCTACGTACTATCATGTAGCTACATACTATCATGTAGCTACGTACTATCATGTAGCTACGTACTATCATGTAGCTACATACTATCATGTAGCTACATACTATCATGTAGCTACATACTATCATGTAGCTACATACTATCATGTAGCTACATACTATCATGTAGCTACGTACTATCATGTAGCTACATACTATCATGTAGCTACGTACTATCATGTAGCTACATACTATCATGTAGCTACGTACTATCATGTAGCTACATACTATCATGTAGCTACGTACTATCATGTAGCTACGTACTATCATGTAGCTACATACTATCATGTAGCTACGTACTATCATGTAGCTACATACTATCATGTAGCTACGTACTATCATGTAGCTACGTACTATCATGTAGCTACATACTATCATGTAGCTACGTACTATCATGTAGCTACATACTATCATGTAGCTACGTACTATCATGTAGCTACATACTATCATGTAGCTACGTACTATCATGTAGCTACATACTATCATGTAGCTACATACTATCATGTAGCTACATACTATCATGTAGCTACATGCTATCACGTAGCTACATACTATCATGTAGCTACGTACTATCATGTAGCTACGTACTATCATGTAGCTACATACTATCATGTAGCTACGTACTATCACGTTGCTACCTACTATCATGTAGCTACGTACTATCATGTAGCTACATACTATCATGTAGCTACGTACTATCATGTAGCTACATACTATCATGTAGCTACGTACTATCATGTAGCTACGTACTATCATGTAGCTACGTACTATCATGTAGCTACGTACTATCATGTAGCTACATACTATCATGTAGCTACATACCATCATGTAGCTACATACTCTCATGTAGCTACGTACTATCATGTAGCTACATACTATCATGTAGCTACATACTATCATGTAGCTACATACTATCACGTAGCTACATACTATCACGTAGCTACATACTATCAAGTAGCTACATACTATCACCTAGCTACATACTATCATGTAGCTACATACTATCACGTAGCTACATACTATCACGTAGCTACATACTATCACGTAGCTACATGCTATCACGTCGCTACATGCTATCACGTAGCTACATACTATCACGTAGCTACATGCTATCAAGGAGCCAGAAGCGCAGTGAGGCACAACTAGTGAACCATTACATATCAACGTGGGGAGAGGACGAGGGGGGTGACACGAGAGGAGGGAACAATAGGATAGAAAATCAGGAGAGAATAAGGAGAGAACAGAAGGAGGCAACAAGAGGAGGGGACGACAGGATAAGGGGTATGAGGCGAGGCGAGGGGAACGGAGAGGGGAACGGAGAGGGGAGCGGAGAGGGGAACGGAGAGGGGAACAGAGAGGGGAGCAGAGAGGATTACCGGCACCAAGCTTGGAAGGTGCGAGAGGGGTCGGTGAGATTGATCTGGTGCACGGCCTTGTGTCGGTGTGGCTGCAGCATGGCCTGGGTGGAGGGCGGAATGACCTTGGACACCTGCTTGGGGTCGCCTTGCGGCAGCTCCCCCACCCCGTACAGCAGGCGCGGGCCTGACGGGGGCGCTGCCAAGGTGTCTGTCATGTCGTAGATCTCAAGCGTGTAGTTCACGTCTGGGGGAGGGGAGGTGTGGGGCGTGGGAAGGGGAGGTCGGAATGTGTTTTGAGTTGACTTAAAACACACCAGGTGTCTGTGATATCGTAGATCTCAAGAGCGTGGTGTTGGTAGTGGGAAGGGGAAGTCAGAATGCATGAGAGAGAGAAAGCCCACATTTCTTTCACTGGCAACGAGCAGGATAGGGATTCGTTGCAAAGAGATGACAAGCAACAACAGCAGGGGCAGTCCCAGATATGTGCTCTGGTTGAACCTACAGATTCAAAAAAACGATGCATCCATCCATACATATCACACCACAGACGTCCAGCACTGGTGGTCGGGAGCATCGGAGCATGGGAGACGACACGCACCCTAGCCAGCCCAGCATGCAGAGGAGACGAGGCGAGACGCACCCTGCAGCACGTCGAGGATGATGGCGCTGGCGAGGCGGTTGAGGTCGAGCGCCGCCCCCATGGCCCCCACCATGGCGCGCTGCCTCTCCGCCTGTGGCGACGCCACCGACACGCCCCCTCGGAACAGCGGGAACCCCATGCCTGCATGCGCGTGGTGCACGTGCGGTGCCATTGCGAAGGAGCAGAGAGGGGGTGGAAGGAAGGAAGGAGGGAGGGAGGGAGGGAGGGAGGGAGGGAGGGAGGGAGGGAGGGAGGGAGGGAGGGAGGGAGGGAGGGAGGGAGGGAGGGAGGGAGGGAGGGAGGCCGTGTGGAACACATAAGGGCAATGCCGTGGAACAAGATGAACATGGATATTGCTACCCCTGACATGCCTGATAGACCTTGCTGCATTTGCCTTGAACATGAGCGACGCGGCTCCATTGATCTTTTCCTGCCTCCAATACGGCCATTCACAACCCTCCCACTCCCACTCGCATAAATCTGTTATCCACAGCGCCTTTACCCACCCACTCACCAATACTGGGCTGTCTCCATTGCCCCACCCACCCATGCTGCTGCCCCCATTGCCCCACCCACCCATGCTGCTGCCCCCATTGCCCCACCCACCCATACTACTACCCCCATTGCCCCACCCATCCATCTGTGTTCCAGGCACGCCCAGCACGCACCGATGCCAGCGTTGCCATTATCGAGCACGAAGGGCGTGGTGAGCCACCAGTCCGCCCTCTCCACCATCTCGCCCAGCTGTGGGCCGAACGACGGGTGGGCGCGAGCGTCCTTGCAGGGCGTGGTGGCGAGCACGGTGGGGGCGTCGTTGACCCAGTAGCGCATGGGCATGTACCAGTCCTCGTGGGGCCGCGCTTGCTCCATCACGTCCACCACTTTGCACCGCATCTGCCGCTCGTACGCCGCCCTGCACCACCGCACCGCACCGCGCACAAGAGCGGTACACACACAAGGGCGGTAGACACACAATGGTGGCAACACGTACAGATGGCATGGACAAATGGCTTCGGGTAGGGTTCAGGGTTTCAGCCCACACTTGACCAGTAAAAAGGGTTTCGGGTGTGTGTGTGTGTCGGGTGTGAGTGTGTGCAAGAGAGGAGGGTAGAGAGAGATGCAAGAATCACAAAGTATCAAGGCTCGAAAATGGGGGAGCGAGCAGGGCAGGCAGGGCAGCTCTAACCTGTCTGTATGGTTGAGGAGCACGAGGTAGATGACACCATACACCCACGGCCGCGCGGCCACAGTCTTGTGTGCAAACTGCACGTAGAGCTCCTGACTCATGCACTCCGCCACGCCCCATGGATTCTCCCGCACCCCGCCAAACACTGTCAAGAGCCCTGCCAGGGCCTGATGCATGCACGCGGGAGCAGAGGTGCATGCATGTGCGTGGATGATGGGGATGGGAGGATCATGGGGGTGGGAGGCAGTGGGTCGATGGACGACGGATGGCGGGAGAGATGGGTGAAGATGGGTGCGAGGGTTGGGGGAAAATGGGTGGGAGGAAAAGTGTGGGGGAAGATAAGCCGGGAGAAGTTGACCTGGGGGTGAAAAAAAAAATAAATAAATATATAAATGAAGGTGGGGGGAAGACAGGTTGGGGAGATAGGTGGGGGGAAGATGGGTGAGGAGAGATGAGTGGGGGAAGACGGCTGAGGGGAAGAAGACCAAGTGTACCTGCACGTGTGTACCTGCACGTGGTCGGCGGTCTGCATGAACTGCTGCTGCAGCGAGCGCGCGCGACCGGCGCACCATGTGTCGAGAGCCGCCTTGCGATTGTCGTCGAAGCCCTTCTGCACCCTCCACGCCACCAGCCCCGCAAGCACGCCCGCAAGCCCCATCCACACCGCCACCGCCATCAACTCTCGAGAAACTCTCATTCGCACCCGGCGGCGGCGCAGAGGCAGTATATTTTCGTTGCGCCTGCACCCTACTACCAGTAGCTACCGAGGACCACGGAGCAGCGCGACGGTTATCATGGATGGCTACGCGCGGCAAGCGGGAGTGTGCTTCACATCTCGGAACGTGCAATGTCAGACGACGTATGATCATGCAGGTGGAGCAGATACAATGTTTGATCGTTTCACAGCCTCTCATGAAGGAAATATCCATAGCGGCGGCTGTGCAGTGCATACACAAAATAGTCCACTGGCAATCCTTGCTTCGAACGAATGCCAGCTGGACAGCCATAGGCCGCGTGAGGGAAGGTTGGAGTTGGAAGGTTTGAAGGATTTATGGCACTAGGTTACATCATCGGAATGTGCGGGGGTGCTGCAAAATCGTTGACTTTTTGTTGGGCAGCCCAAAAAATCGTGTCGAACTGGTCAACGCCGTTTGTCAGGGCCGATGGATCTCATCGGCACTTCGAGGGTCCCAAAGCGCATGTTATGGTATGGAGGAAACATGCGGTAAAAGGGCCCCGATAACAAATATTGTTTAAAAACTCGCTAACACTCAGAAAAAATACAGCACAAGTACTGTTTTTTTAGGGTAAGTGATTTTTTTTATGATTCGATCAATATATGACACCAAACGCATCTAGACGCCGTTCATTTGTTTTTTTTTTTTTTTTTTGGCAATGCAAGATCCACTATAGCAGTGCATACAAGCATTAACAGTCGTAACTGTAGCCGATGGGCCTAGATAGCAGCCAGCCATCGTACCCATCCTGATATCTTAGGGGGGATGAAAGATCGTACGCGGATTGGCCCAGATGGAGGTGAAGCCACTGGACCATGCAAGCGTTCTTGCTGAGCTGTCACAAACCCTGCTCAGCATCCGGAATTCATCCGGATCCAGCCGCTCCAAAGGAGAGCGCTGCCCCGGCCCCAGCACCACATCTGCCCGTTTATTCCCCTTCTTCATTCGTAGATAAACCCTCGTGTGTGTATAGAAAGCCGCCGCAATTCTGCGCAGTACCCTCTTGGATCGAAAACGACCCCTTTCGAAGACTGCATCACACCTTTCCACCCAGATTTTGTGGAAAGCGATAGCAGTGAGAGTAGCCTCTGGAAATCCTGACCCCGAGCCTTCTTTCTGAAACAGCAGGTCCCCCAGCGATGAGATTTTCCTCCCTGGGTTGAGAAGGCGGAGAGCTCTTAGCAGACTCTGCACCACAGGTTGGATGCGGGGGCAGCTGAATAAACAGTGCTCCGCGGACTCCTCCCCTCCGCAATGCGGACAAGCCACGCCTTCCAGAAACTTCAGCCGCACCCCAACCTGCAGGTTATGGCAGTGCAGCCGGAGCATCACGTCACGAGCCCGGTTCGGGAGCACCTCAGAGTCCCGCACGCTGATGACCCTCTTCCAGTCAATTGCATGTCCCCAATCTTCCGCCCATCTCTCTTGTTGCCGCATCTCCCCTTGCTGCGCGCCAAACATCCCTCTCAACTGTTTGAAAGGGGGAAGATGCACGTCCACACAAAGCTCTGAGCAGCGCAGCCGAACTTCTGGTAGACCACTTACTCCAATTACCCTCCCTTCTCTCACCATCAACGGCTCCACTCCGTTCAGGTCGAAAAACGACAACTGTTCCGTAGACCCTTTCAGGGGCTCCCTAAAACAGTCGCATGCTCGGCAGGCAAGCCTTCCCTGCTCTACCGCATCCACCTTCCAGACACCAACTGCGCCTATCCTTTTCACATGAGACGACACCTCCAGGAGCTCCTTCCCCGTGACCGGCGCCAGCAGCTTCTCCTTCTATGCGTCCGGAATGCACTTGAAGATTTTTAGCGCCTTTCTCGCCTTCTTGACTGTGCCCAGCTCCCTGGCCAGCACCTCTTCACTCTTTAACGAGCACACTCCGTCTTCTGCGCAGTTAATGAAATCACCCAGCTGAATTAGCTCCAGCCCTTCAGCCGCTTTCTGACGACCAATCGGCTTCTTCCTGTTCGGCAGAACCTGGCGGTTGAACAGCAGAGGCTCTTGCGCGATGTCCCATCTCGTCTTCGGGCCCTCTTTCGCTATTTTTGACTTCATAAAAGCCTCACACGTTTGCCTCCACCTTTCGCTCCGCCCCTTCCAATCTTTCAGGAAGTCCTCATGCGCCCAGAAACACCGGAAGCCCGCGAGGAGGTCCGCCGCCTTCGTCGCCAACCATCTCCCGATGCCCCTGTTAACCAGCACAAACTTCCCCACACGTCTAGCTGCCAGGCCGCTGAGTTCAACAAAAGGGTCCCGTACCCCCAGACCACCATCCTTCCTCGGCCTGAAGATCAGCTCTCTGCTCCACAGCGAGAAGTGGTGCTCTTCAGACGCCCGATTCCCCGAAATGAAGTTCACTAGCAGCGAAAAAAAACATCCAGGTTGAGTGAAAAAAAAAAAAAAAAAAAAAAAAAACAAAAACAACAACAACAACAACAACAACACGGCTTCAGGTACGGCGCGAATATGCATTGAAGATCAGGAAAAGTCAAGGACCGTTATAAATGGAACTAACAGAGTGCGCGGAATAGCTCAATAGTGAGACTAAAATTATAGAAGACTGTCGATACAATGAAATTGGCGGCCAATATAGGGGGTTTTCTAGCTATGCGATTGGTGAAGGGGCAACTGAGATGTGATTCGAGCTGATTGTAGGCCGAACCCAACTGACGCGAGGCCTTCCAGTTATACATGCTAAGGAATTAGAATTAATAACAGCATCCCACGTTGTAAATAAGCCCCCCTATACATAGGCGAGTCTTGTAGTAGCGACAATGCCATCGATTTTTAGTTCATGTAAATCTAACAGCTGAAATTGCATTCGACCAAAACAAATTGAATGTTGGAATGTCGACCGTTGATTGAAGTATGTGTCGATTTGACGGTCGTAGTCAAACTATTCAAATGAATGTGCGACTAGATAAGGGCCGTCAAATATGATGGTGGAGGTTCATACGATGTTGACAATAATCTGCTGTCACAAGGTCTGGTGTCAAGCGAGTAGAGACCATCGATGTCTCGTCCGTCGTACAGCATGAATCCGAAAAAAGTTGTCGGAAATTGCAAGGAACACACTCTCTCCCCCCGAGTGTTGACCATCAGAATTGTTACGATCGGAAAGACGATCGACCCAAGGATCACCTCAGGAAGGTTCGTACACGACTGAATAGTAGTGGTGGGCCCTTCTCATCAATAGCAGAGTGAATGTAGAATGCTTGAGATGATAAAAAATGCAAATACAGAGAATATAAATAAGAGTACATGGGAATACGAAACGACCTAGGTAGCCATGTACTTTAAGGGGTACGTTCCCTTATTCGAACTCAAACCAACTGTGCGACTCTGCCGATGCCATTTGCTCCGACGGTCCAAATCTACTCCCACCGTCTGTGTCGTTTCGAGTCAACTCTGACTCTTCGTGTTCATTCTGTCAGAATGCTATTATTGTCTAGCCTGCAGTGGGGTACTCTATAGCGAGTACAGCCCAATCTAGGGTTTGCTATTTGTACTCAACTGCCTGCTAGTTCAACCTCTCTCCTTTCAATCATTCTTGCCTAGTTATTCTGATATGGTATTCAGAGCAGGAGGTCCCTAGGACCTACCGACCGTTTTTTTTTTTTAAGGGCCCACCACCGCTCGCATGCGGTTACCACGCTACCCCGTGCCCTAGCCTCGTAGCGCCCTCGTGCGCCCACGTTAGCGCCCTCGCGCGCCCCTCGTTAGCGCCCTCGCGCGCACCCTCGTTAGCGCCCTCGCGCGCCCCTTCGTTAGCGCCCTCGCGCGCCCCTTCGTTAGCGCCCTCGCGCGCCCCTTGCTAGCGCCCTCGCGCGCCCCTCACTAGCGCCCTCGCGCGCCCCTCGCCGAGCCGCCCGCTCGCAGCCCGCCCGCCCGCTCGCTGCCCGCTTCGCGGCCCGCTCACTACGCAGCCCGCCCGCCCGCTCGCTGCTCGCTTCGCGGCCCGCCCACTTCGCAGCCCGCCCGCCCGCTCGCTGCCCGCAGTCACAGTTACCGCCTGCCTCGCCTCTGCTATCAGAGCAGGCGGTACTGCGTGTTTCACTTAGCTGCGGTTAGGAGTGCACAATAGTATTTCACAATTCGTAGCAAAAATCAGCACATCTACACGTGTACGAAATACCAGACACTATGCATGCGAGCGACAATATTATGAACTTTTACAATGCTTCGCGATTGCACGGCCGAAATTGTTGCCGGTGGCAGTGTCAACTGGTGAGGCACGTAGATCTCCCCATGGTATATAGTGTTGAAAGTCCCTTGAAGGGAAAATTGTTTTGTTATTAATGAAATCGTGCGATCTAAATTGCCTATTGTAGAAGACGTTAAGACGCTCTAGATCCAAGTTGAATCAGGTCATTTGGAGCTGTGATTAGATCGCTATGAACGTTTAAAGCCGCTGTGCAGAAATCCGACTGTGCACTCTATCTTTCGTTTTAGGCACATTGAAGCCTACTGTGTTTATAACAAGTGGTATCATAGTGCCTTGGAGCAGCTTGGACGATGGGTGGACCTGATGAAAAGGGTGACAGAGGTGCTGGTGGCAGTGGAGGACCCCAAGTGTGAGAGTACGACGGCTTATGCCAGCTATACATGCTTGCCTTTACATTATTATGCTATTACTAGCTTAGGTTTATTTTATGCATGCATGAATTGCTTGATTTCCTAGGCTAGGTGCTTTCCTATATTTTATTATAGTTATAGCACCGAGCTAGGTTGCGTACACCAAATTCTGGGCTATTCGGTTGCCACCGAATTGCCTTCTACCGAATTCGGGAAGGGTCTGTTCGGGACGCTTCACGACCCTCCGAACCTTCATGTAACACCTGGTTACTGCCCTTGTGTCGAGCCTATTTTCAGAATAGCTAGGCAAGAATGATTGAACTAGCAGAAGTTTGGGTACAAATATGAAACCCTAGTTGGG